GCCACAGCTTCTCCGGGCACCCTGTGCCAGCGCCTCAGCACCCTCACAGGGAACAGCTTCTGCCCAAGAGCTCATCTCAATCTCCCCTCTGGCAAGTTCAAGCCATTCCCCTTGTCCTGTCCCTACATCCCTTGTCCAAAGCCCCTCTTCAGGTTTCCTGGAGCCCCTTTAGGCCCTGGAGCTGCTCTAAGGTCTCCCTGGAGACTGCAAACACATCACATGGGGACACCGCAGAGCAGCAGGCTCCCAAATGGTGACCACGCAAAGACTTGTCTCTGTCACTCCAAATGGGACAAACCTGAGGCACAACCAAGGCACAGATAGAGAACAGTTTGTTTACCAAGAGATGTATGCTAAGAGAATAAAAAAGGGAAAGCCATCACCTTGATTATCCGTGGAGTAAAAATCAGTCCTTTGCTTACCCAAAAAGCATCTCCCTGAAGACAACGGGATTATGGTAAGAAAGGGCAGCAAGAAACACCTGTGAAAATTCCCTTTGCAGTAACTGACCTCAGCTTGTTTGTGCTAAAAAGAAAATCACTGTCATCGCAGGAATGACTGCAAATGTCTAAATTCCACCTGAATTCTGCATGTCTCCTGCACTCCATACACTGACCACATTTCATGTCTTTCTCTAGGAGACACATGAAATAAGGCTCATCCTTCAAAAACACTGAGCTTCCACAAACTTGGAAACTAAACTTGGGTCGGGGGGTTTATTTTAGCTGCTGTTTCCTCTTTAAGGTTTAAGATACGTTTGTGCAAGGTTGCACAAACTCTGAAGCATCACTGAAGCTGGACCAGACGCACATCTGCTAAGATACCTACTCCACATGAAAGGGTTACCCAGGGCTTGCCTAGGACTGTGCCTGGGCGAGGCTGAGCTCTCATAGGGGTAGACATGATGCCCCACTACGAGAAGAATCCTGTGCTGAACCTGCCCTGTTCATACAAGCCACTTCACTGACCCCCTTCTATGCCATCCTCCAGAGACAGCCACTGTGATACCCAGCAAATGCCCACACAACCTCCATCAGGACATTAGTATCATCAATCCAAGAGGAAGGAGTTTTCATAGGGTTTTGTCCCAATTATTTGTGCCAGTAATTGAGAAATGAGTAAGAAGTTGATGTTGGTAAAACCTGAAGCTGAATAAAACACACACACACACAGGAAAAGGAACCAAAATTGTGGAGTCATTCAAATAAATCCAGGTGTTTTGGCCCCTTGTAAACCGAAGTGAAGGCCCTGCTGCCAACGGCAAGGGCAGCAGAGACAGGGACTACTGGAATGGGAACTCCGTCCCGGGTGGCAGCTCCTTGGAAAGGGGGATGTGGAGCTAAGTGGTGGGGTTTAAAAAGCACGGCCAGGTTAGTGCTGCTGGGGCTGAAGGCAGAGAACAAACCAGCAGCAACAAATCACATCCCAAGCGATTTGCTTGGTCTACACAAGACCAATTTGAGGGAGAACATCACTCCTTAGCAAAGAAATGCAGATTAACGTAGGAAATGGAAAGCACAGTAAGAAACAAACCCAAATCCATTGCTTTCCTTTGCAAACAAAGATGCACAAAAGCAGAGGGAGGGCGTTACAGAGACCAAAGTATCCGAGTTGAGCTTCTTAGTGTTTGTGGAGAAGGCACCAGGGCTGCGGAAGCACAGCACATGTGCAAGAGCAGTGTCCTTCCTCCTCCTCATGCTCAGCTTGCGCCGGGGAGGAGGAGACTTTCTCTTTGGTTTTCTCTTTTGGATGGAAACATTTTCTGCTAAAGGTCACATTACTGGAAGTGTTGCTATTTTTCAACCCACAAGCTCTTCCCTTCACTTCCCTATTGTTTTCCTTCCTGTGGCCTTTTCCCTGCTCCCCTCTCTCCCCCGCAGGAGCAGAGCTGGGATTCCTTCCCTCCAGGGGATTCTGGGGTGAGCCATTCAAACCCACCTAAACATCTTCCTAAGCCCTCCTTGGGAATGGCTGATGCTTTCCTACGTGGTTGGAACTGTGGGTAGACCCTTCCAACTCCTGCCCACAAAGCATCCCTATGGCAAGTGCTGCACAGAAACATCTCTCCATCCTTCCCGTGGGAGCTGATGGCTCGACACCAGCCCTCTCATTTCACAGACTATCGCTTCAGAAACTTCTCACCTTAGATGTGATGCTTTAAATTAGATTTAAAGCAGGATTTCAGAGTGACAGAAGAATGTTTTGGATCCCTCCACGTACAACTCAAACTCAGGCAACCCCGTAACAGCCCTACAGCTACGTGATACCTGCCCCTGCAGCACGGTGTAAGGGACAAAAGGTACAACCTGAAAACACCGTGTGTCCCAAGGGCTGTAGCAAACGGGATGTGTCCTGGAAAAGAGATGAGGGGTGATGGTTTTAAACTAAAAGAGGGCACAAACAGGCTGGACATGAGGAAGAAACTGGTTACAATGAGGGTGGCAAAACACTGGCACAGGTTGCTCATAGTTCCCCCCGCCAGGCTCCAGGAGAGCTCTAACCAGTTAATGGTAGAAGATCAAGCGCAGTGAGTCAGTGAAGCAAGCAGCACAGCGGGCTCTGTGAATCACAAGCCTTTTAAATGTGTTCCCTGGTTTTATGTCCAGCTGAAGGTTCCTGAGCACCCGGCAATAGCATCTCCCATCTTTTAGACGTGTGGACCAAAGGTCAGAGTTACTAACGCAGAAGTAGTAGTCACTCGAGCTGCTTACCCGCTCTCCACATAAATCTGTTTATCTTCAACACAGCTGACTGCATTTAGTAATGCTATTTATAGATTCATAAACTGGTTTGTGTTGGAAGGGACCTTAAAGCTCCAATCCAGCTCCAACCCCTGCCATGGGCAGGGACACCTTCCACTAGAGCAGGTTGCTCCAAGCCCCTTTGTCCAACCTGCCCTTGAACACTGCCAGGGATGGGGCAGCCACAGCTTCTCTGGGCACCCTGTGCCAGCGCCTCAGCACCCTCACAGGGAACAGCTTCTGCCTTAGATCCAACCTGAACTTCCCCTGTTCACTTTGAACCCATCACCCCTTGTCCTATGGCTACAGTCCCTGATGAAGAGTCCAGTCCCTCTCTGCAGCCTTGTACTCCCTAAGCAGGGCCTTAACTTGCACCGTGTTGGACAACGGTCCCGAGAGAACTCAACAATCCTTCCATTTCCCATCCAAAGGGATTCATCCCCTCTGCAACACCCAATGCAAGGGGCACCAGCTGTGGAGAGCACGACCACAATTCCCATTCAGAGGCTCGGCAGAGGCTGCGTCATCCCCGGCTCTTACTATTTCAGTCTCAAAATACCCCCCTCTTTGAAATGCCATGAGGTCCCCACAGAAGCAGCAAGTGCTTTTGACCCACAGAGCCCTCCCGAAAACAATCAAACCTTCTCTGCTTAATGAACACATCCTCAAGACAAAAAAAAGCCTGTGTTCTTATGAATATTTTATGGTAGACTAGAAAATTGCTTTTCTAGGTTCTGCCTTGAGAACATATTAATACAATCAGCTTCATGACGCTAGCAAAAGCACAAAGACTGTATTCAGAGGTTTCATGAGAAATGCCAAAGCCATGAATTAGAAGACAAGATCGCGATTATGAATAATCAACTATCTTATGTTCTCCCTGCCTTTTCCTTCCCTGTAGGACCAGAAGGAGAAAACAGGAGGGATGTTATTTGTTAAGCTTCGTTTTAACGTAAGCATGGAAGGATTCCTTTCTTCCACGCTCAAGTTACCGTTACTTTTACGCCACGTTAGAAACACTCTGCTCGACGTTTCCCTCCCAAACATCCAAGTCTGCCCCTGTGTTGGATTGTTAAAGCATCATCCCCATTGATCACCAGCACGGAGCAGCCTCCTGGTTGAGGCTGTCAATTTGACAGCTCACAGCTTGCTCATGACTCTATCTTACCTCCACTGAAGCTGTTAAACACACTTGCTGTAAATGAACTCATAATCACAAACCTGAAAGGAAAGGTGTGTTTCCTACAAACAACGCTGGACATGAAAATCATTGCCCATCAAGGCTGCACAGAAACACGCTGTCAGAGGAATCATAGGTTGAGTTTCTTCCATACTCCCAAGTGGAAAATCACTTCTCCACAAATACGGAGCATTTTGGAAGGGAATAGGAGAAGGTGACACTGCTTCAGTACGTGCATTGAAATAAAATTAACAGGAAAACCTGTATATTCTTCCTTTCTCGGATACAGTATTTCCATGCAGGTCTTTAAAGGGTGAAAATAGCAAAGGGCTGAGTCCTGAAAACACACTAGAATGGAAGTTAAAACCAGATTTCAGTACAAGACAGGGGATATTTGAAGCACGTCTTTAAATACAAATCTTGCTTCAGCATAAACTTTACTTCAGCTGAACTTTAGCAGCATTGCTCCAACTTGCTTTTTCCTTAAACCAAAAGCTGTTGCCAGAAAGACTTTCCTTCTGTGCATGTGTGCGTTCGAACTGAGGCAGAACAGAAAACTGCCTCTCACATTTGAAATGCGACAT